TATAATGTTTGCATAGATCCAAGATGGCAGAGACGGCCAGCAGCCTAGAATAGAGTGGGGAAAATAGTCAGCGGACTCGGAGCAAAAATGGCTACTGGTTGGGAACTGGCAGAGTCCAGTCAGACCACATGGAAACCCTTATAGAAAGGCTGTAATGTCTATCTTTTTAGCTTTATTTCTTTTCCTAACTTCTAGTATGTATATTTGTAATGTAGTGTTAATGTTTTTCTTTTTTCTACTTTTTGTACCCAAGATCTGTACCTAGGTACTTTGTACCTAAGATGGCATTGTATGTTGGCGACATTGTATACTTTTCACTGTACACCTGTTCTTTTGTAACTTGAGTACACATGACAATAAACCTAATTCTAATTCTAAAAATTCTGTTTGGCAACATTCATAACTCAGCAATAATGTTTGCATCATTTAGGTGCCCCTTGACATTCAGTGGCATTACTGTTGTTGAATCCCTCACTATCAACACTGACCACTGGCCAGAAATTGAACTGGACCAGCCAAACAAATACTATGATTACAAGAGCAGATCAGATGCTGTGAATTCTGTGGTAAGTAACTCACTTCCTGTCTCCCTAAAGCCAGTCCACTATCTACAAGGCATAAATCAGATATGATGTAATACTTTGTATTTGCCTGAATGTCTTTTGAGCTGCAGACATTCAGGAAGCTCAACAACATCCACGACAAATGCAGCTCATTTAACTGACACCCCCTCTAACACCTTCAATATTCTGTCCCTCTATGTTGACGCACAGTGGCAGCACTGTATGTCATCTACAAGATGCACTGTACCAACCCACCATTGCTCTATGCCACCAAGCAGGACAAGGGTAGAAGATATATGAGTTGACCCTCGGCTATACTCAATCTAGACTTGGAACTTCCTTCACTAGTACAATGTTAAATCCTAGATGTGCATCCCTAACAGCGTTGTGGGTAGACAAACACTACAGAGACTGTTGTGCTTCAAGAATGCAGCTTGTCCTGAAGGGCAAACAGCAATCAACTGGCGATAAATATTGGCCTAGCATCATGGGAATGAATAAATAACACCTTCCAATGTGTGTGTGGCAGTGCCACTGTGCTAAATAGAAGATACTTTGAATACATCACGCAACTCAATGTTATGTGCCTGAGGCGATAGCAACCACAATCTGCAATGTCTTGGCTAGATATGTCCGATTCTACATTTCAATCAAGTTGGGGTATCCATTCTGGTTCAGTGACGTAACCAAAAAGATTGAGGGTAGAGTGGTAGAATTCATAGAATACCTACAGTGTGAAAACAGACCATTTGGCCCAACAAGTCCACATCACCCCTCCGAACAGCATCTCACCCCGACTCATCCCCATCCCCCTACCCTTTCCCTGTAACCCTACATTTCCCATAGCTAATCCACTTAACTTACACAACCCTGGACACGACAGGCAATTTAGCATGTCCAATCCACCTAACCCGCACATCTTTGAAACGTGGGAGGGAACCGGAGCACCCGGCAGAAACCCATGCAGACACAGGGAAATGTGCAAACTCCACACAGTTGCCCGAGGGTGGAATTGAATCTGAGTCATTGGCACTGAGAGGCAGCAGGGCTAAACACTGAGCCATCATGCCATCTACATGGTAGGCATCAACATGGACTTTATTAAAGCCTTGGACAAGGTAGTTATATCACATGTGAATCAGGAAGAGCTTACCAACTGGATTCAAAATTGGCTTGACAGTGGGAGACGGTGGTGGTAGAGGTTTGTTTTTCACACTGGAGGTCTGTGACCAGTGTTGCTCCACAGGGATTGGTGCTGGGTCCACTTTTGTTTGTAACTTATTTAAAAGATTTGGGTGAGAATTTAGAAGGCATGGTTAGTAAGTTTGCAATGACATCAAAATTAGTAGTAGAATCACCAGTTAAGAAGGTTATCTAAGATTAAAAAGGGATCTTGATCAATTGGGCCAATGGGCTGAGGAGTGCAGATGAATTTGAATAAATGCAAGGTTTTGGTAAAACAAACAAGGGCAGAACTTATACAGTTAACGGTAGGGCCCTGGGTAGTGTTATCAAACAGAGAGACCTAGGGGTTCAGGTACATAGTTCTTTGAAAGTTGCATCACAGGTAGACAGGGTGGTTAAGAAGGCATTTAGCACACTTGCCTTCAATTGGTCAGAGCACTGATTGTAGGAATCAGGACGCCATGTTAAGTTTATACAGGACATTGGTGAGGCTACTTTTGGAATACTGTGTACAGTTCTGGTTGCTCTGCTAGAATAAGGATATTATTAAATTGGAGGGGGTTCAGAAGAGATTTACCAGGATGTTGCTGGGACTGGGGGGTTTGAGATATATGGTTAGGCTATGACTTGTTTTCACTGGAACATAGGAGGTTGGTGTGGTGACATTACAGAGGCCTATGAAATCAGGAAGGGCATTGATAAGGTGAACAGCCAAGGTCTTTACCCTCAGGTCTGGGAGTTCAAAATTAGGGGGCAACTTTTTCAACAGAGGGTAGTTCATATGTGGAAATGAACTGCCAGAGGAAGTGGTAGAAGCAGGTACTGTTATAACATTTAAAAGACATTTGGATAGATACTGGAGTAGGAAAAGTTGAGGGATAAAGGCAAAATGCAACAAAGTAGGACTAGTTTAGTTTGGGAAACTTGGTTAGCATGGACAAATTGGACCAAAGAGTCTGTTTCTGTGCTCTATGACTCGAAGTGTGCTGAAGAGCCTTGCCAGGGGCAGCACTAGGCATGACTAAACGTGCCATGTGAAAGTACAAATCAGAACTATTTACCTGCCAAACAGCAGAAGCAGGCAGAGCTAAGCAATTGCACAAGCAATGGGTAAGACCCAGTCTGAAATCTTAGATTGACAGCAAGCAAATTTTGCAGTTCCCAGTTCTATTAAAAAAAGCCTATAAGAAATAACAAGCATATATGTTCTGATGAAAGGTCACAGACATGAAATATTAACTCGAAGAATACTGCAAGATCTACTGGATATATTCCACATTTCCAGCATCTGAAGAATTTTACTTTTCAATAAGTGTACAAATTCCTTCATGCATGCAAGTAACATTTAAACACATGAAGTTATAATTTCTCTACATAAGTCTTGAAAAACTATTACACACAGTAAATTATTTGAATACTAACTGGGTGAGTATGTGACTGAACACAGGTTCACCAGAGTGCTAGAGCAAGGTTTCAACTGAGGTATGATGGTGATTGAGAGACCCACCAAATGAACGCACGATTTGCAAGGACGTAAGAAATGAAAGCAGGATTAGGACATCCATTCCCTCAAGCCTGTGCCACCATTCAAGAAGATCGTGGCTGACTGGCCCAGGCCTTAGCTCATCTTTTGAGCCAGCTCTTCTGTGCTGTAGAAATACATGCTGTTTTATTTCAAATTATTGATCACTTCACAAACATGATAACTCCAATAAAGTGGTAAATGTCAAATTATTGGTCAATCCATGTAAAATAGTAAATTATCATTCTGATGAACACATGCTAAATATTGAGTAATTATTTGGCTGAATAAACATACAAAATATCACATTAATGTTCAGTTCGTTAAACATGTCAAATGTAAAATAATTGTTCCACTATCTATGGTGATTGTCAAATTATATTTCACTCCAATGAATATGTTAAACAGCAAATCTAATGAAAATGGTAAAAGCAATATGTTGTTCAAATGAACACAAATGCTAAGTATCAAATTACTGTTCATTTTATAAATGGTTAGTATCAAGTCATTATTCCAATAAAAATGGAAAACGTCAGACTATTGTTCATAAAAATAAACATGGTAAATATCAATTTATTGTTCAGACCACTGAATACAACTCAACAGCCAACAGTAAGTAATAACACACTGTGGAGCTGGAGGAGCATAGTAGGCCAGGCAGCATCAGAGGAGCAGGAAAGCTGATTTTTGAAGAAATGTCAACTTTCCT